GTTTTCTGTGTTGGAACGTTGTTTATATTTTTCTTCTGATTAATTCCTGGATGAGGTCTGAAGACTCAGGTCATTGCAGTGAATGGTTAAATGAGGCAGGTACATGGTACATATCACTCTTCTCCAAAAGCCTGGGAGGGGAGAGTGTGTGTGTGTGTGTGTGTGTATGTGTGTGTGTGTACCAGGAAGTAGGTTCAGAAAACAAATTCTCAAGAAGAATTCCAAAACTGAAAGTGTGTGGTTTGGGGGGCCCAAGAAGTTTCAAAGTTTGAGGAGAGGGTGTGAATGGCTACAAGTGAGCTGGGAGGAAAACTTACTAATTTTTCAATCTAAGAAGCCTAATTCACATGAATGATTTCTCCCRGAGTAAGACCTTTCCAGATCTGTTGGTGCTATTGAGCTGGTATTTCAAGTATGTCCATCTGCATTTAAACGAATCGCTCCAAGACAATCTGATTATGCGGTAGTTACTTTGGTGAGAATAGCGCCTCAGTGGAATGGAAACTTCATTTTGAGTCTAATATTAGACCTTGCTTTGGAAAATTCCTTTTAAATGATCACAAGCTGGGAATAGCAAAAGAATTTAACTTTCGACAGACAGCATTTACCAAGAATTTTTAACTGCTTATGTTGGGTCCCTGGGAAGGCAGATGTGAGAAACCTACTGGACCAAATTGACTAGATGAGAGTTGACTTGACCTGGTGCAGGGTTTATATCTGTTGCTGATAAGTTTCCCTCTGAGTCTCCTTTGCTCAAAATATTTTCATTCTTAGAGTGTGAGCAAGCTAGGGATGAAAATTGCTAGGATGCCGGACATGGATGGCCTAACAGTCCAGTTTCTAGGCCAGCAGACTGTGCTTGTCTGTACAGGGGTCTGAGGCAGGGCAGAAACGTAGACCACTGAGGAAAGAAAGTACAAACCAACCCATAAGCAAAGCTGGTCCCTAAGTCTGGGTTAGGAACGTGATCAGACCTGGCCTTTAGAGAGTAATTCTAGTTTGTTTGACTGGTTGTGTCTGCATGAATTTACCCACCTCAGAAGGGCTCATTGAGCTTTAGTGAAGCACCGCCCTCTGTCATTTAAAAAGTAAATGTGAAGTTTCCAGATCACGTCTGCATTGGCTTAAATTAAGGATATGCTTTATGTGCCGTGGATGGATTAAACCAATATTTGTGTTTGAGAAATGTGTTTTACTATTTTATTTTAAAAGATTTTTCTGAAATTGAAATGCCTCTTCTCATCACTCTGCTTGTTTAATGTGGTGGGTTTTCCCTCCTATATCTAATCTGGTAATAAGTGGATCTTGTCTTACAATTGGGAAAAACATGTACAAAATAAGAGTTACTGGGACTGGGGTTGTAGCTCTGTGGTAGATCACTTGCCTTGCATGCAGGAGACACTGGGTTCAAAACTCAGCATCACATAAAAATAAATAAATAAAGATATTGTGTCCATCTACAACTAAAAATATATTWAAAAAAAATAAGAGTTACCACTTATTGATGACTCCATGATTGATTCCAGGAACAACCCAACGTTATCTCTGATCTTCACAACAACCCTGTGTGGTGGCAGTTAGCATGAGCCTGTTTCAAAGATGAGACTGAAGCTTAGAAATTGGCTGGGGTTGTGGCTCAGTGGTAGTGCACCTGCCTAGCATGYGTGAGGCACTGGGTTCGATTCTCAGCACCACACACAAATAAGTAAAAATAAAAGTCCATCAACAACTAAAAAATATTTTAAAAAATAAGTTAAAAAAAAAGAAATGAAGAAATGTTCCATAGTTTGCTTGTGGTCATCTGGCTAGTGATGGCTAATGAGTGGAGTTCAAACTCAAGGCTATTAAACTCGGGAGCTCATGTTCTTCCCTTGCCCTCTGTCATCCTCTGGTGCAACAATTCTTAAACTTTGTTGTCTTAGAATCCTTTTAAGCTCTTAAAAATTATTAAGAACCCTTGAACTTTTGTTCATGTTGATTATATCTTTTGATATTTATGGCACTTGAAATAAAATGGAAATTTAAAACATTAACTTATTAATTTTTTTGTGGGGGTTAAGGATGGAACCCAGGAACTCACATGTGCTAGGCTGGAGCTCTACTGTTGAGCTGGTCCCCCGTCATTAACTCATTTTAAAGGACATGAATCTATTGAATGTTGACATAACTAACTTTTTTATTAAAAATAATCATATTCTCCAAAACAAAAAGAGTAAGAAGAATGTCCATGTTTACCTTTTTTGCATGTGTTATCTAGCTAAACCGAAGGCAGCTGGGTTCTCATAACCTTCCACATTTAGCCCGTGCAATATTGTGTTTAGTTGAAATATATGAAGAAAATTTGACTTCACACAGGTATATATCTGGGAAAGATATGTGTTTTAAGTGCCTTTTTGGATAGTTGTAGCTGCTTTCCTTTGAGTTCATCAAAATTCCAAAAGTGCTAGTCCCTTAAAAGGTATATGCATACCTTTTGGGAAAAACATGTACAAAATAAGAGTTACCAGGAGCAGGGAAGCCTGTGTGCAATCCCAGAGGCTCAGGAGGCTGGGGGGCTGGGGGTGGGTGCAGAATCRCAAGTTCCAGGCCAGCCTCAGCAAGGCGACACATTAAGCAACTCAGTGAGTTCTGTCTCTAAATAAAACACAAAATAGGGCTGGGGATGTGGCTCAGTGGTTGAGTGTCCATGAGTTCAATCCCCTGTACCTGCCCTCACCCCTCAAAAAAAAAGGTAATTGCATTATAGAATCTAAAATCAAAACAATGGACTTTCAATACTCTGTCCCATTAAAATTCTTTGGCTGAAGTATTCTTTTCACAAGATTGTGTGTGGATACTCTCCTCTCCAAATAATAATATATATAGATACCCCCCTACTCCAGGAAGTAGAGGTCAATTACTCTTCCTCACCCCTCCCTTGGGGGGCAGATTTGACTTAGTGACTTGTTTCTAAAAATAGAATTAGAGCAAATGAGTGACTTTATCCTGGGGAAACCTGGGAAGCACTACTTTACCCAAATGATGAAGGAGAACATCATCAACCATGTCATGAGAGTATCTCATAACCCCTTATGTGATGGAGTGACACAATCTAATCTAGTCATGAGAAAAACATCAGACAAACCTGAGACCCAACCAGAATTTCTTAAAATTGTTAATATCTGCTGGGTGTGGTGGTGCACAGGTATAATCCCAGTGACTCAGGAGACTGATGCAAGTTCAAGGCCAGTCTCAGCAATTTAGCAAGACCCTGTATCAAAAATGAAAAGGTCTAGGGATGTGGCTCAGTGGCAAATGGTCCCTGGGTTCAGTCCCCCAGTACCCTACCTCTACACACACACACACACACACACACACACACACATACACACACACACACAAGATTGTCAATGTTATAAAAAAACAAGGGAAGATTGAGAAGCTGTCATAGACCAGATGAAACTGGGAGCCATGACAGCTAGATGCAACCCAGTACTCTGGACTGGACAATGAAGCAGAGAAAAACATTTTTTGGAAAAAAGTAAAATCCAAATAGAGTCTGGAATTAATTTAATAGCAACATGTCAATGTCAAATTTTTAAAATAGTTAATGGCTAAAATACAGTGACAAATAGTTAACAGCTTATACAAGATGTAACAGTAGAGAAACTGGGTGAAAAGTCCATAGGAACTTTCTCCTACCCTTGCAACTTTTCTGTAAATCTAAAATTATTTCTTTTTTTTTAAAAAAAAGTCCCATTGTTCTGTCTTGCACTTGGAGCAGATCATTTATCTAAGTGTGATTTTGTAATATCATTGCCATAGTCACGAAAAATACTGGTTCACTGAGTTATGCAGCTTTTCAAACTGTTCACACGTCTGCATTATTAGTATTTTAAAAGTTGCATTCATTAATATCATCACCTGTCCCATTAAAAAAAAAAAAAAAAAATCTTTACTGAGAAGCTGCCAAGCTTCCTAGTGGTGGATATGAGTTTCCCAAAATTCTGTTTTTTTTGTTGAAATCTCAGTTTTTAATCACTGGCAGCAACACTGCCCATGACCTTCCTTGATGTGACATGATCATTTTGTTCATTTTTGCAAAAATGTCTCCCAAATACATCTAAATAACCATAATTTGTCTGACAGTCATTCTTTTAAGTAAAAATGGCATTTGATAAAAAAGTGACTTGGGCTGAGGGGTTAGCTCAGTGGTAGACCACTTGTCTGGCATGAGCAAGGCCCTGGGTTCTATCCCCAGCACKAAAAAAAACGAAAATTGTGGCCGGTTCAGCTGGCAGCAGTCACACAGGTGCTGTCCCTCAAAGCAGGTATCGTAATTCAGAATGTAGCAGAATGTTCATGATTCTTCCCATTTTGTCAAGTAGAATATTAAAAGAGATGTACTCAGGGTCAAGATCTAATGGAGTAAATATGTGTACTGCTTTATTTAGAACATTCTTAAGAGAAATGAACTCTTTGTTCTCTTGAAGCATGTCGTGGTGAGTAGTTTCCACTTGTGCCAGGGACTCCCGTGGCCTGGCTCCGGGCTAAGCAAGGTGCCTCTGTGCCATTGATTCAAGTATAAAAAGAGGGGAAAGGCCTATGACATTTTAATATTCTTAGGAAAATAGTTTGACCTCATCAACCTTCAAAGGGTCTTGAGGACCCTTTAGGAGGTCCACAGACCACACTTAGAGACAACTGCTCTGTTCGAGTGACAGTTTGAAAGATTTTCCGGAGGAGGAGCTGCCAGCGCTGAAGACACATCCCTGAGTGAGCAGAGGACTGTGGCGCAGGACAGTGTGTGCAAAACAGGTCCCACCTTAATGTTTTCAGTGTTTCGGGATGCTTTTCCATTTGTTTCCACACCAATTTCAAGTACAGAAATATAGACTTTGATAATTTGGTATGACATTTTTGCTGCAAAAGATTTGCTACCATTTTTACAATAATCACATATGTCATTCAGGGAATCTAAAAAATCAGCCCTTCAACTTTTTCTTTTCTCTTCTCTAAAGGTAAATCTCACCTGGCTATTGTGCAGCGGGTGAACAATGAGGGAGAAGGGGATCCGTTTTATGAAGTTCTGGGAATTGTCACCTTAGAAGATGTGATTGAAGAGATCATCAAATCTGAGATTCTAGATGAAACAGATTTATACAGTGAGTAGAATCATCTGAGTGTAATTTCCTAAAACCATTGCTTTTTCTGTCATGCTGTTTGTGAGTCATCTGACATTTCTTCTCCCACGTTGTCCGCYTCTGTTTATACTTAAGCATGATGTGTGTATGCTGGGTACAACCTCTCAGTGTATTCCCATCCCTTTGTCAAGGGGGAAGAAGAGACAAATTCTGTAATGATGAGTGGCAATGTTCTTTGAAAAGCCAGCTTCTCTTGACCATTAATCTGCATGTTGCTTGCCCCAAACAGGRAATTCTGCTCTTGGTTTTCAAATGTATTTTACATTGTTCTTAATTTTCATTTTATACACCTGGGCAAATTATTTTCAAAGGAATTTCAGTTTCTTCTTAAGCTTATAATTCATGTGTTTCAAAAGTGAATAGGGTTTGTTAAATTGATGGATGATAGCTGATTAGATTTCCATGTTTCAGGATCCCTGGGCTGAGATCAGAGCAGGAGGGGTAGGAAAATATTCATAACTTGTTTGTCCAGACATTGGACTTGACCCTGGGCTAAGTGTTGCACTTGCTTCCTGTCTCATTCAAGTGTACAACTGAATTGCTGGACAGAGGACATCCCATCCCACTCTTAGCAATGGGACAGTCTTCCAGGAGTCATTGCCAAAGAGGTCCTAAGGCCTAAGAGGTTGGGGGCTCTTGGGATGGGGTAGAGAGAACATCTAGCTCTATTTATTCTCTTGGCTCTGAAACGTGGCTTGGAGGGGGACATGAACTGTCCCAGTGGGTTGAGGCATCATCTTCTGAAAATGCACCCATTTTTCCCTTCACATCTGTATAGAGTTTTGGTTTTTTTCTTTTTCCTGGCCTTAACCATACATTTTATTACTTTTTAAATTTCTTCTAATTAGTTATACATGGCAGTAGAATTCATTTTGACACATCATACATAAATGACTGTATAGAGTTCTTTTTTTAAATTGATTTTTTAAAATAAATGACAGCAGAATGCATTACAATTCTTGTTATACATATAGAACACAATTTTTCATATCTCTGGTTGTATATAAAGTATGTTAACACCAACTCGTGTCTTCATACATGTACTTTGGATAATGATGTCCGTCACATTCCACCATCCTTGATAACCTGTATAGAGTTCTTGAAAACACTTTCCCACGTCTGCTTTATCCTTTTGACACTTGGAAAGTAGTCAAGGCCTCATAATAGAGAATGTTGTTATTTGCATGTTTACATTCTTTTCATCCTGCCTTCCAATCTGCTGATGAATACTGAGTGTGTCTCTGAATGCTTATGTGTTTTCCCAGGGAACCTCTTGTCATTAGAAAGACAACTTACAGTGTTTATGAGATCTCACCTACTTTGGTTTAATAGAAATGTTAGTTGGACTTCTTTTATCTGGGATTGGACTCCTTTCCTACAGAAGTGTTCCTTCCCATTACAGTACTTGTACCCAGCATGGTACTCAGTGYTGAACTTGTGATTTCAGGTATATTGTTGATCTATAATGTCTGGTTTTCAGAAGAATTTGAGACAGAAGAAAAGCATATAAGATGCCATTGCCTTCTCCCCACGAAAAGCCTTGTAATCAATCTGTCTGGTCCTGCGCAGGAAGTGACAATGAAGTGACTCATGGTTCTTGGAGATGGAGCAAGAAATTAGGGTCTTGTCTTTAAGCCAGTTTTTTTTTTTTTTTTTTTTTTAATCCTCGATCATTACTTTGTCCAGAGAAAAAAAATTAAAAAATAATTTGGCATAAAATGCCTTCTAGATTGGGGTTGGCAAGCTATAGTCCATGATTGCCTGTCACCTATTTTTGTATGGTCTGCAAGCTAAGAAGGGCTTTTCACATTTTTAAGTTGAAAGAAAAAGTAAAGAATAATTACTTTGTGATGTGGAAATTAAATGAAATTCAAATTTCTGTGTCCATAATTGAAATTTTGTTGGCATCCAGCTGTGCTCATTCATTTGCTGTACAGCAGTGTGGATCCTGTACCAGAAGCTGTATAGCCCACGGGGCCCCAGGTCTGCACTCCCTGGCCCTTTCCAGGGGAGGCTTGCTCAGCCCTGTTCTGGATCACCTTCTTCATGTTCACTTGACCTTGAGGAAATCATGGCCTGTGGTAGAAGTGAAGTCAAAAGATATTAATTAAAGTAGTGTTTCGTGAATGCTTTCTTGTTTCCTGAGGGGTTTTGTTTGTATGTTATTTCCTTTCTTCTGAGGCGGGGCGGCGTCTTTAAGGGCAGAGACAGTGTCCCTTGTGTGTGTCCAGGTGGCAGTTCTTCACTGGAGTGTGGTGACATTGAGTCGCGGGAGGCCATGTGTGCCTGTCTGCCCCRTCATGTCTGACATCAGGGCTCTCTGATGACCTTCGTGAGGTCTGATGTGGTGGCTGTGCTCTAGGCCAACTTGGTGGGACTTTGCCCCTTGCTCCTGTGTGATGTTTGGAGCCCAGAGCCCGTTCCTGCAGGGGCTGGCCTCCCGGTGTGCTTTGTCTCTTCCATCTGAAAAGATCCCTGTTCTAAAGGACTGTATTTCCTTATTTTCCTTCTTTTCTCATTCTTCCCTCAGCCGATAACAGAACGAAAAAGAAAGTGGCCCACCGTGAAAGAAAGCAAGATTTTTCTGCCTTTAAGCAGACAGACAGCGAGATGAAGGTTAAAATATCACCGCAGCTTCTCCTGGCCATGCACCGTTTCCTAGCAACAGGCAAGTGCGCTTATCACAGTTTGAGATTGCTGCCAGCCCTGGAGCCATTTCTCACCAGCACTGAGTGGGGGGCTGGGGGTGGAGACTGGGAAATGGGGTGATAAGTAATGCCACTTTTGTGTTTTGTTTTTTGTTTTTTTTTTGTTTTTTTGTTTTGTTTTGTTTTTTTCTCTTTAAATTCTCTCCTCTCCTGTGTTCAGTGTCGGCATGAACCCTCTGAGACATTTACCAGGGGTGGACCAGTAACTTAAAATTGGTCTGAAAGGTAAGGATGAATGTCAGTGCCACACTGCATGTGTTCAGTAGGCCAGGCCATCTCCTTCCAGCTAAGTCCATGGGCCAGCCAGCTGGCGGAGTAGGCTGACAGTGCAAACCAGACACAGCTCGTTTGATTGGACAGTTGAGTAATTCTCTCTTCAGCTTGCCTTGGAAGAACAGTTGGACATCAGTGGTAACGCAGGTGCTATGATTTGCAAAGAAGAAACATAGGTTCTCAGACTTAAATCTCTATCTTTTATGGTTTTGATGAAATCAGAAATTCTAAGGACTTTGACATGGATTTCTTGGTGGCCTCTTCAAATCAGATTGTTAACTTGGGCCCATTCCAGGAGGCAAGTGTTCACATTATTAAAGCCACCAACCCAGCCGGCACTGACTGCTCCCGAGAGGTCAAGGTTGAATGGACTTAAAGACTGACTAACCCTCTCACATCCCCACATGGCTCCCTAGGTGAAGGGTGAGCTCTGTTGGCCAGGGGAAGTGTGAGAAAATGTGAAAGTACCCAGAGGCTTGTAGAAGACGTCTGTTTCCAAGATGGGCAGCCAGTACCTTTCAACTGCATGCAGTATACTTAAAATATTTTGAAAAGAAGGCCAACAACAACCACGTGGCGGAATGCTACCTACGCTTTCAGATACATGGAAGTGCTCACAGTCTCATTTATGACATGGGAAGGTGTCCATGACTTTAATGTAAAGAGGGAAAAAAACAGGACCTAAAGCTATGTGTACATTAAGATCACAGTTGTGTTTCTGTGGTACACAGACACGCGTACACAGGCACACAGGCCTAGGCAAAGCACTGGAAAGAAATACTCACCAAATTGCTCTGAATGGTTATCGAAGTAGTTGGCTTATAGATAATTTTTATTTTCTTCTCTTTTTCTCTATTTTCCAAATTTTCTGCTATGTATTTTTTATTACCAAAAAGTCGCAGAAGTGAATACAGAATTTATAGCTCATATATAGCATCTAATTTTAAAAAAATAAAAATAAACAATATCTTTAACTTGCTTTTTAACTTGCTTATTATTCTTCTTCTAATTCCGATAATATTGTCCTCATCATTTAAGAACCACACGTTAAAGCTGAATGTTATCCTACTCTGCCTCTGAGAAACCATAAAGTCCAGTTTCAGGAATAGCGCCCTCAAGTCAGTAATTTGGACATTTGTTATTTTAAAGAAAGCTCCTATCTCTGTCAGTGCTGACCAACATTCCTTTTTTTTGGTTTTTGGCAAGTTGGAGTGCATGTTGATGTGTGCACGGCCTTGCTTTTATTCCGACTCTCTCCCTCCGTGGTCCCCGGAATYGCAGGATAGTTGCGTGGGAGAGTGGAGGGGAGCCCGTGTCTGCACCGGTACTAACCCACGCCTCGGCGCTGCCCGACCTTGGCTTCCTCCTCCCGCTGTCTTTGGACAGTCTGGTTGTCCTGCTTGTTGGAGGCCTCCTGGCGCTCAAGGAGCCTGCTGCTGATGGGTTTTCATTTCCATGTCAGAAACGTAGGGCATTTTTATGAGACCGAACCCAATGACAGGGTGAAAAGGAAAGATTAAAAAGGAACAAACCTGAGAATGGAGCATTTTCTAATTTCTCCCAGGTAATCTGTCCCCAGTGGATCACCAGACGGAAGCCTTGTTCACCCATGTTGTATCACTTTGATGCCAAGTATTCTTGCTATCTGAACACCTTAATTACTAGCATGATCTTTTCCGTCCATTTGAAGTGTAATGTCAAGTTGTGTTTATGTCTATAGAAGTAGAAGCATTTAGCCCATCCCAGATGTCAGAGAAGATCCTTCTAAGGCTGCTAAAGCACCCCAATGTCATCCAGGAACTGAAGTATGATGAGAAGAACAAGAAAGCCCCAGAGTACTACCTCTACCAGCGCAACAGACCTGTAGACTACTTCGTTCTCATTCTTCAGGTCAGAGGAATTATTCAACAGTTGTTTGCTTCACTGAACACCCGCCTTTTCAATCTGAGGAGGCCTGGTGGAGGTGAATGGGTATCAAGGTGTCCTAACTTTTTGTTTAGGGGAGAATTTCATCTGTTTTCATGTCTGTAAAATAATCCTGCTGGGAAGCAGTGCCACTGTTACTTTAGTTTCCAGCACCGAAGGGCACTTGGTGGATGGCCCAGGCTCCGTGCTGAATGAAGGATGGTGAATGTGGTTGTTGGTATTTTTTGAAGAGTTTGGAAAAGTACCTGTGCCTGTCCAAATCCCAATGGGTGTTTGAAACTTATTGTCATGGCTTCCTTGGGAACCTCTCTTCTTTTTTCATCCCTCACGAGGACTTGGCCTTACATAGTGACCAAGCCATTAGCACCATCAAAATAATCCATTTATAGTTGTTTTTATCCTTAGTACTAACTATAGACTCTGACAGAGGAACTGTTGGAAGGAGGACAGCATCTCCAGGCAGTGGTAACTAGTTCCTCTCATTAGAACACCAYCCACCACCCAAGGGGAAGGCCATCCATTCTGACCCCCCGTGGGGCTTGGGTGCTGGAGTTGACAGGAGGCCTTGTTACATCTCAGTGCGCAGCACACGGCCTGTGGCATGGAGACCAAGATGGATATCACAGTGAATAAAATCCCAGGTTTCATGACTTCTTATACCTCTGTATTTTAAATTTTTAATTTCTTTTGGTACTGGGGATTGAACCCAAGGACACTTTACCACTGAGCTGACCCCTGGTCCTTTTTATTTTGAGACAGAGCCTCACCTAGTTGAAGAGGGTGGCCTGAATTTGTGATCCTCCTGCTTCAGCCTCCTGAGTTGCTGGGATTAAGGCGCCCAGCTTGTACCTCTTTATTGGCGAGTCACTTTCTCAGGAAATCTGAGATTTTCAATGCATGAATACTAGCACTTTAAGCTTTCTGATATTTCTTATTCCTTAGATATGAAGTGGAAGCATGATTATGAGAATATAATTAGTACTTGGTAGGACCTAAAATTTATATGAGTCCTGCAAGGCCCCAGCTTTCTGAATCAAAAAAGGGTCATTTTTACTTGAAAACAACTCTTCTCAGATGTGTAGGTGTCAGAAACTCTGCCAGGTGTTGTGTTCAGATGTGTCCCTCGTCTGGGCAGGATCATGGTATCTGGGACCAGGAGGAAAGAGTAGAAAGACACCCTGGATTGCTGATTTYGTGCCACTCTTAGCAGCTTCCGTCTCCAGGTTCATGAGTTCAGTATCTACTAACTTGAGCCTCATTCATTCACTCTTCTTTTATTCTGTATATTGTAAGCTCAAAGCTGAGGGCACGGGAGCGGGGATATTTCATTTATTTCACCTACTCCCTAAGCCTAGAGAACCGAGTTATAGTTTAATGTTGTTGTTTAAAGGAATTTTGAGGATTGATACTGTGAATTTCAGTAGTAACAAATAATGTGGCTTTCTGTTGTCTATTTTTGTGTAGTTAGCTTTTATTTAGTTGTGATTGGATAATGCTCTGTTGCTATAAAAGAAATCCATGGGTCTTAAAATGTTATAGGAAAGGAACTTTATAATCCTTGTCTATTTATAAGCAAGTCTTTTAAATGTATTTTTTTATAAGGTGTTTATGTATAAGTACTAGTATTTGAATATCTCCTCCTGTTAAATATTTATGTAAGTTGACAGGTTTGTTGAGCTGACAGTGTCATGGGGTRTTATAAATACTTTGATTGCTTGATGAACAGGCCTGTGGAGGTATTTAATCTTTAGATTTTAGCAGACTGGCCAGTTACCCGTGTTAAAATTGTGATAAACTTTCTTATGTAGGTTTATATTTGAGGCACCGTGGGTGTGTATGACTTGTTCTTGTTTGTGTGAATGAAAAAACCCTAGACTTTTCTTTCACACAAACAGAACCCATAAAATAACAGAGTATCCCCTTTGACTCTAGAAAAATGTCTTAAGTAATTGACATTGTGACTCTAATTGTACATAGAATCATCATTTTTTAGTTTAAGCCCTAGATGAAATAAAGTGTAATTTAGTCAAAGAAAATGGTTTGAATAAACTTAATTAGAAGAATGTATTGTAAATTACGTAATACAAAGTTCTCCTACTACGCATACATAAAAAGGCTAAAACTTYAAGTTTTAAACAGAAATGTAGATTTTCAAGCTAAATTGTCAATATATGCCTTAAATAACCTAACAAAATATATGTAAATGTAGAAATGGTGAGGAACACAACTTTGGTGGAGTTTTTTTTTATATTAGAGCTTTATAGTTATACGTAGTAGTTGGGTCCATCCCAACAGACTCACACATGCATGGAAATTGATTACAGCTCATGAGCTCCCCTTTTCCCTCCTTATCCTCCCCCACTTCTCCTTCTCTACTAGACTTTCTTTCAYTTGCCTATTAATTTATATTTGATTGGTTCTTTGTTATCCTATCCTTTCCTCYTCCTTTACTTTTCTCTAGCTTCTGCATATGAGAGAAAACATTTGATTTTCGATTTTCTGAGTTTGGCTTATTTCACTTAGCATAATGTTCTCCATTTCTATCTGTGTACCGGCAGATGCCACAATTTCATTATTTTTATAGCTGAGTAGAACTCTGTGTATGATAGGTAGATAGATAGACAGGATGATTTCTTTTTAATGTTTATTTTTTAGTTGTAGTTGGACACACAATACCTTTATTTCACTTATTTATTTTTATGTGGTGCTGAAGCTCGAACTCAGAGTCTCGCACGTTCAAGGTGAGCGCTCTAYTGCTGAGCCACAACCCCAGCCCCTGAGATGATTTCTGAATCCAGTCCTCTAGTGACAGGCACCTGGATTGATTCCATAATTTAGCTATTGTGAATCGTAGTACTATAAACGTTGATACGGTGGCTGTTATCGCTGTAGTATCCCAATTTCATATCTTTGGGGAAAATACCAAGCCGAGTCTTATGATGGTTCCATCCCTACTTTTTTGAGGCATCTCAGTAAAGATGTTTTTCCACCATCATAAAAGAGCAAGCATACCAAGAAAAGTTATATAGTAGTTTTAAATCTCATAACTAGTAAAAGAATAGATTTGAAGAAAATAAAACAAAAAAAGCCAGAGAAATATATTGTAAAAATATTTGTKCACTCTTTCATAAAAATTGATCATTTACTGTGTCACAGTGTACACTCTAATAAATACAAAAACATAGGAATTTCATAAAACTTCTTGCATGGAGCATAATGAAATTAGGAATAAAAGCATAATCAAAAAGTAGTTACCTGTGTTAAAATTGTGATAAACTTTCTTATGTAGGTTTATATTTGAGGCACCGTGGGTGTGTATAACTTGTTCTTGTTTGTGTGAATGAAAAAAAAACCTAGACTTTTCTTTCACACAAACATAAATATATGAAATTTCTTGAAAGGTGCTGGTTGTAATTGTCTCCTTTTGGGACGAGGCCTGGAGGGGGGAGTAGAGTTGAAGGGGGTGTTTCTCACTGTGGAGGTTGAGCTGTTTACTGTGGGCATGTGCTACCTATTTAAAAAGATAATTATTAAATATTAGAATTAATGGCAACTGAATTAGGGAGAAAATATATAGAATATCTTAAAATACATAGTATACCATAAAAGACTATTAAGTAATGTAATGCCATTTATTCAGTTTTAAGAAATTTTAAGTACTTAAATAAAAAAAAAACAATTATGTTGCAAAAGGACAAAGCAATAAAAGAACAAATTAAATAATAAAATAAAAATAAAAATAAACTAAAAAATAAAAGTAGGGGGGTCATGAGGGTAGGAAAGATGATGGAATGAGATGGACATTATTACTGTGGGTACATGCATGATTGCACAAATGGTGTCTCTAYGTCGTGTACAACCAGAGAATTGAAATGTTGTGCTCCATTTGTGTAAGATTAATCGAAATGCATTCTGCTGTCACGTACAACTAAGTGGAACAAATAAAAATAAATAAATTAGTTAAAAAAAAAAAAGAAACATTCCAATTTTCTCTTTGAGGAAAGCCCTCAGGGCATTATCATGCTTTAAAGACAATTAGATACTCTCCTCAAGGTGCCCCCCCCCACAAAAAAAAAAACCTAAAAAATAAAACCTATAACTGATAGGAAAACCAAATGTTGATTTTATTTATTTTTTWAAATTTTTAAATGTTTTTAGTTGTTGATGGACCTTTGTTTTATTTATTTATATAACCTCACACATGCTAGGCATGCGCTCTATCACTGATCCACAACCCCAGCCCATTTTATTAGTAGTATTAATAATAAAGGGACTGGGAATTGAACCCATGGGTTCTTTACGATTGAGCTATATCTCTAGTCCTATCTATCTATCTATCTATCTATCTCTCTATCTATCTATTTTTGTGGCACTGGGGATTGAACCCAAGGCCTTGTGCATTCAAGGGAATCACTCTACCAACTGAGCTATATTTTTTATTTTGAGACAAGGTCTTGCTAAGTTGCTAAGGCTGGTCGTGAACTTGTGATCCTTCTGCTTAGCCTTCCAAGTTGTTGGGATTACAGGTGTGCACCACCCAAGGTTTGGTTCTTTTAAAAGATAACCAAAACTGCAGGGCTGGGGATATAYGTTGGTGCTTGCCTCGCATGCATGATTGATCGCCAGCACCAAAAAAAAGATTACCAAAACTGGGGCTGAAGCTGCAGCTTAGGGGTAGAGCACTCGCCTAGTGTCAATGGGGCTCTGGGTTCAGTGCTACCAAAAGAGAAAAATTAACAAAATCAATATTGTCTTTCATAATTAGTGTGATTAAAGATGAAAAAAGTTCTCTTGTTCCTGAAAAAAGCAGCTGGAATAAAGGATTTGATAGRGAAAAAAACATCAAACTTTGAAGAACTCAATGTTTCTGTATCATAGAACAAGATGATATGGTAGTCAAATGCGTTCTTTATAATATGGGCTTAATTCTAAAACATAATATTATGGTTCAGTGTCACTTTTTT